TATGCTCAATTCGCTTAAAATTAATATTATTACTCATTACTTTTGAATAGTTTTAATTTGTACATATTATTAATAACATTGTAAAGTCAATATAATTATTCATAGTCACATGTAATTTTAAATAGTTTCACCTAGTACTGTATTGTTTATGGATACGAATTTTATCGTACATCCATCCATTTTCTTAAATGTGAATATGAAATCAGATTTGAGAAAAGTAACATGGAAAACTGATTTAGATAAATCCATTAGTATCTACTCCCTCCGTCCTATAAAAAGCGTCACTGTAAGACTCGTGCGGGTTAAACTTTCTTAAGTTTGATTAGATTTATACTTTTTTGCGAGTATGATTAAATTTGTACAAAATATTAGCAACATTTATATCTTTAAATAAATTTATTATGAAAATATATTCAACGATCTAAGACATAGGGCAGATGTACATCAATAATATCGTGTTGCATATTGCCCATAATTCAAATGCATTTGAATATTGAAGTGCCAGTTCTCTCGTTGATAGAAAAAACTAATCGGTCTCCATAGAGAAATGGCAATTTAATTATCAAATAGACCGTGTTCTATTTCATCTTGACTTGACATTTCTCTGTCTTCTGAATCTATGGTTTTGAGATGGTAAAATGCTGTGGAGTTGACATTTCATCTTGACTTGACATTTCTCTGTCTTCCAATCTATGCATGGTTTTCAGATGGTAAAATGCTGTGGAGTTATGCTAAAGAGCTGTGGACTTCGGTGGAAACTTGGTCCCAGCAGTAAGGGGTTGGTCCTGAACCAAGATATTAGCCACATTAAAACATGGTGGAAACTGCTAACTCAAGATCTACAGATAAATTGCCGCAGGCTGACGATCATATACACGATATGGAACTTATGGAAAGAGCGATGCTGTTGGGTTTTCGACAAGAGGGCACAAACCACACAACAACTCCTGCAAATAATAAGGGAAGATCAGCAGCAGCTACAACAGGCGCATGACAATGTTCAGGAAGACAGCTAGAAGGCGGCGGCAATTCAGCAATTAGCTGGGCTATGCCAGGGCTATAGTTCCCGTTGGGTGTCGCAAGTCGCAATGATATTTCTATCTGTTTTTCATCCTGCTTTAATTTCCCTTCTGTTCAATTGAACTTCTGTAACCTGTACATACTATGCTACCTTCTATTGAAACGGCAGAGCACCTGCCTCTTTTTGCTCGAAAAAAAAAGACAAGAGTTGTCCGTGCTGGAAAGAAAGGTCTGAAATTTGATATATATTATATTTAGCGGCCATCAGAGAGATGTACCTTTTGTTCAACAATATTTGAAAACACTATTTTCTATTTATTTCTCGCAACTATTTTGTTTTTCAAACACGCAGGGACGTGGTATATCATATATCAAGAAAAAATAAAGGTAAACAAACCCATACAACTCACACCAACACCAGACACACTTATAAATCTACACCCTGGAAACACAGATCACTTGTTCTTACACAAAACACTCGACCTCAACCAGGAAAATACCCCACTAAACAACAACTTGCTGCGGCAGGGCAGCCAGGAAGGAAATTCCTTTGGCCCCTGCCAGCACCTAAAGTCTCAACTCATCCAAAGCCAACAGCAAGGTGCTTCGCAACTAATCAAATGATGCGACAAAATGATCTTTCCTTGTCTATAAAAACTTGGGCATTCATTATAACTTGATTTATTTACTATGATGAGCATGCACAGAGCGGAACAATGGAAGTCCTGTTTTCCTATGATGCTGCATTGCAGAGGTCTGTGCCATTTTGAAGAGTGTTGGAAAACTGGGGGTTTCCAGCAGGCAGGGCACGGAAGGCCTTCGCCTAGCTGAGAGCTCTGGGCGAAGGGATGTGAAATGGGGGGTGGGCCCTAGTTCAATCAAGGTTTCATTAATGTGTTCACCCACGTCCCTTACATAGCATCCGGCTTCCCCTTGTATATGGTATTGTTCGCTACTACTTCACGGAACAAATTTGTCCTTTGACAGCTAAGGTACATTCCTAAAATATCCTAATACCAGTACAAATCCTCAGGAGCATCCCGGGTCTTGTCCTCCTGCACCGTCTTTGCTCCTTGGGCCTTAGTCTCAGGCCCATGGGAGGCCTGTCTCCGATCTTGGGCCGTGGCGCTGTGAAGACCCCTTTCTCTCGGGCGAAGACAACATAGCCTCCGCATGAGCCGCCGGAGCCTCCGCCTTCGCTCCTGAGTCTCCGCCTATGGACTCCTCCAGACATCTTCAGGGTTGTGCTCGGGCTTCCGTCCTACTGACGGCCAGTGGCGGAGGCCTTCTGGGTTTCTTCCCAAAACGTGCGCGGCCTTCGCTTGAATTGCTGGGGTCTCCGCTCCATCACAGTCTCCACGCGAAGGCTTCACCGAGCATCCCAGCAAAACACTTACACAAATGTTCCAATGGTATTAGCTTATGTTTGCATTGGCCTCCGCTACTCGTGTATTGGTGTTCCAACAGTTCCCCCCTTGAGGGTGCGGTCCGATGCGAGCGAGTCGTGAGCCTCAAGCGCGACACTGATACCGAGTGGCAGAGGCTTGCCCCTTTCCCTCCTGGGTCACCCGTATCGGACCGTTAGAGGGGCGACGTGTCGCCGTTTGACTCGTTGCGGTGGCCTGGCGCCCGATGCTCGCGAACAGTCGCGACTGTTGGTGTTTGGAATTCGAAGCGTCCCCCCATGGCCTATATAAAGGGCTGGTTGGTGGAGAGGCCCCCTGGTGCCACTCGAGCCATCGCTTTTCTCTCCTGTAGCTTTCCAAGCTCCGACTGTGCTGCTCTGCTATCTTGTCTTGGTGCCTTAGAATTTTCCTTGCGCTCCTCCTCCTTTTGGTTCTGTGCTGCCTTTGGAAGTGGCTTCGCCTACTAGCTCTGATCTTCGTTGGCCTAGCTTTAGCGGTCCTTATTCCCATTTGCTTGGCGTGAGATCTGAGGGTTGGTCAAAGAGGTACGAAGAGTCTATGTCTGCGTCTGCGGAGGCTCAAAACGATTTAGAGAATATTGAAGCTTCTGTCGGAGACCTGATTCCCATTTCCCCGGTTAAGAAGGCGAAGGTTCAAATGGCCAGGTCTAGGGATTATGGGCCTTCGCTCATGACAGAAGAGGCGATAAAGGCTCTGGATGATGAGGGCTGCTTCCCAGCAGGGAAGGGTTGTCCTCCGCACGGTGAGACTAGTGAGATATGTGCTCTCAGCTATTCCGGTGTATCTCCTGGTCGCTATCAATGTACCAACGTGGTTTATCAAATTGATTAACAAATTCAGAAAAGGTTTCCTTTGGAAGGGCAGGGAGCAGGCTAATGGAGGCTGCTGTTTGGTTGCTTGGGCGAAGGTGCAACGACCGATTGACCTTGGAGGCCTCGGCATACTTAATCTTGAGACCATGAGCTGGGCCCTGCAGATGCGATGGCAATGGCTCAAGAAAACTCGAGCAGATCGTCCTTGGGTTGATTTGGAACTGCCTTGTCATGCTAACACATGGGCATTATTCTCTATTGCAGTAACAACCCAAGATGGAAATGGCAACAACACACTATTTTGGACAGATCGATGGCTCCATGGATGTTCCATTTCTGAGTTGGCACCTGCAGTGGTTGCTTGTGTCAGACCTCAAATTAAAACCAAAAGAACAGTTGCAGAGGCACTTAAAAATAATGTTTGGGTGAGTGATATTCAGGGAGGCATGTCCATGATCGGACTCTCAGAGTACTTGCACCTTTGGGATGGTCTTAGGGAGGTTGCGCTCTCCTAGGATGATGATCAACATATTTGGAGATTTGATGCCTCTGGAACATACTCTGCCAAGTCTACCTACCGAGCTTTCTTCTATGGTTCAGTGACATTTGAGCCTTGGCGACGTTTATGGAAGTCATGAGCCCTTGGAAAATGTAAATTTTTAATTTGGCTCGCCATCAGAAACCGATGTTGGACAGCAGATCGGCTTGCTCACCGAGGATTGTCACATCCAAAGAGATGTCCATTATGCGACCAAGAGAGGAGACTATTGAACACCTGCTCACTAATTGTGTGTTGTCATGTCAAATATGGTTCAGCATCCTTTCGCCTATGGAGATGGATGAAGCAGTACCACAACAGAATGAACATAGTTTTGCTGATTGGTGGGCCAAGTGCATTCGTAGAGTCAAGGAGTACAAAAAAGGGGTTAATTCGCTAATCATTCTGACATCTTGGCTGATATGAAAGCATCGTAATTCCTCTGTCTTTGATGGAGCTACTCCATCCGTTAACGAGGTCTTGAGATAGTTTAGAGAGAGTACAAATTGTGGTGCTTGGCTGGAGCTAAGAAGCTCCAAGCACTTCGGTTAGATGGGGTTGGGACCTCCGGTTAGGTGCCTTGTTGTCGGTCGTCAGATGTCTCATAGGTGATAATGTTGTAAGTGTCCCAACCTTCTCATGTATGGTACCGGCATGAGTTGATAATGTACTCAGGCCTTTATTTCCTCTCTATAATACAATGATACGTAGCTCTCCTGCGTATTCGAGAAAAAAAGAAGTTTTTTCCACTATCAAGTGCTCATCGAGCGGGCATGCAGTCGGCTTTAATTCAGACATGGCCATGCAATCTTATATTGTTTTTACTTTTTTCCACTGTCGAGTGCTCATCGAGTGGCCATGCGACCGGCTCCAATTTGGACATAACGGTTCACAGCCAGCTCAAATGTCTAGAATCTGGTTAGAGGACAAGACACATTTTTTTTGCCAGTTTTCACTGGTTCAATGTGCATAACGCGTGGTGAGTGAAAAAAATCTCCTTACTATAACACTAGAGATAGATACCTCTTTAACCACACAAAAAATCAGAAGAAAAAAGAAAACCACACCCACCACTCAAATAAAATTATGTTATACATTGATTGTCACGCCATAAGTACTTCTCCGCAACAAACACTAACAAAACTAATAGTGTTTGCGTCACAACAGTTATTATCTCTGCCATCTTCTTCACATAGAATGGTCTTAACTGTAGTTCAATCCCATAATGGCTATTCCTTGGTCACAACCAACCACAATCCTACACATAGTTAATATACACTTCATTGCATGAACATTATGCAAGCCAAATATTCATGATAAATTGGAGTATATGACGGTACTACAAGTTCTGAACAATCTTACAACCAATTAAAAGATGAACAACTAACAAGCATATTGTGTATGTAGACTATTATTGCTCTAGTCTTGGCATGTATCACACAAATGTTCTAGTATGGTGAGACGAATAGTGGTAATTTGGTTGTCTAAATAGGTACTAGCTGGTTTATGATCGATGTCGTTACAAATGCACCATATTCAAATTAACACTTTTCTATGAAGTTAGGATGAAAAATATAAGAGGAATACTATATGTATGCAGGGTTAGCCTCAAAGCAAAATTTGGATGTATGGTGTTACACAAAATTAGGTTAACTGGGTGCCTTCTAAGGCTATGTGTTAGCAACCGTTTTGCAATGGCATGTGGCAGTCTTAACCTCTTTTTAGAGCAACTTTTGGTGCAAATAGTTCATTCTTCTTGCATAGTTTCTAGCCAAAAACAAGTCAATTAATAATCAAATATTGTTTGTCTTTTCTCAAAGAAATAATAAGTCAGATGCTTTAACACAAAGAACACTATATGCATACAAAATGGAATTAAAATTCCTGGGAAGGTAGGTACTACTATAGAATCTAGGACTTTAACTGGGCGCACATATGATTTCACACTAGAACCTTCACAAAAAATTTCGAATAAAAAAGAATACAAACATACAATTTTGCAAAAATTGACAAATTTTCTTGTTTAATTAAGTGGTTTTAACTGCACGAGTGTTGTGGGCCATAACATTATCATTTCATAGTTCCTTCGAAAATATGATTGAAAGTTTTAGTTCATAGATACTCTCTTTGAAAAAAATGATACATCAAAGCATATTTTATTAATGTTTGTAATCCTAGCCATTCATACCTTGTGAATATTTCTATCATAATGTTACAAACATATGTACTGATTTTAATGATGAGTCAAGCAATACTACAATATGAAGTTGTTGAAGCATTGCACAAATGTAGAAAGCATTAAATTTATTTTTCATTTCAATTAGTGATATATAGTTTTATAAAAGAAACTAAAACAATCCATTACCTTCTTAAGTCTTTGATATATCCAAGAGCATGAACTACACCAAGGTTAATACCAACTATACTTTCGAGCCTGCAAGATGAAAAAGATAGCTGTTATGAAAACTACAAAAACGAATTTGCAACTTTGGGATTGTTAATACCAACTACACCAAGGTTAATACCAACTATATGCACCATATTAAGATCCATGGTTTGCGAAATTGTACATCTAGATAACACACAATATTTTAATTTCTATAAATATATCTGTCATAAGAAGTTAGTTTTTGCATGTTCTTTTGTCTGTCGCCTGTCATCACACAAGTGAAACTACTAAAGTTGTAAGAAAAAAACTCCCAATCTTTCACTAACTACTTAGAGGTACATATTACAAACTAAACACCTAAGCAACATGTATAGAGCAGAAGTATTGCTGAAGGGTCTTTCTAGAACCATCCAATAAAATGACAGAAAAACAAGCATTTCAATGTACCTGTAGGTAGTGGAGTTCCATAAACGAACAGTCCCATCATGTGAACCTGTGATTACTACAGGAAGTTCTGGGTGATGGTAGACACAACTAATATGACGTACATGCCCTTTGAGCGTTTGAACAAGTCTTCCCGTCTCCATGTCCCATATCTAATTAGCAAAGAGGGTGTCAGTGAAGTACTGTGTATCGTTTATGCCAAACAGCATAGTGAGTGTATTCTTCAGTAAAGATGCTATACTTGTGCAGTCCCATCCCATGATCCGGCGATCAAATATTGCCTCATATCAATTGTGTAACTGTGAACACAAAGCAGGCCGTCCGGGTGATCAGACATTGTAATTTTGCTCTCAGGAGAAGAAATGTTCCAGATCTGCAGAGCATAGCAAAGAACAATCTGTTTTATGTCTCCAAGGATTGAATTTAGTAATATTTCTTTTGTGCATAGCACTAATTATGTAGGAAAACCTTTTTTGTAGATAAGATCAAAATTGAAGTCAAACCTTGATTGTGTGATCCAAAGATGCAGTTGCAAAACTGTTGGTGTCCATTGGGTTAAAATTTACGTGTTTTACTCTGTTGGAGTGTCCCTCAAACGTTCGAATACACTTCCAGTTCTTCTTCCGCCAGTTCCAGAGCTTTATCAGGTGATCCTCGGAAGAAGAGAGCACAAGAGGATCAGTGGGATGCACATCCAAAGACGTGATATCACTATCATGAGCTTCGATGCTTGTAACTTTTTTCTTTGTATGGTAATTGTATACATAGATCATCCCATAGCCATCGCCAGCGACAATCCATTCCTCTCGCGCAATGAATTTAGCAGAGTAAACTGTATTTGCAACACGATAATATTATACATATGTTTGTTTGTGATGGAATGTTAAATGAACTAAAATGTTTTTCTTATTTCTTTGACTCCTTTATTTATAAAGGCAGAATCCTGCGTGTTTCTTCTCTCTTTTTTCTAAAAAGAAAAATAATAAATGGAAATAGTAATGCCAGAAAGGATACCTGGTCTCCGTGTGAAGTCAAAGGATTTAGCTATGGCCTGCACATAAATGAGCGTATTCACTGTAACCGATTGAAAACAGAATTTGTTACCATTGTACAGATGACCAGATGAGATGGAGCAGCAAGCTACCTGCACTTGGTAGTCCCAAATAGCAACCTCTCCTGCTTGATTGGTCGTCAGAATCCTGCATTGCACAAAGAAAACATTAAATGTGAAAAAAGACTTCATAAATCATTTCAAGCGCTATGTTGTAAGGCAGGAGCTAACCATGGTTCCGTCGGATGTGCGTCTAGAGACAGCACATGTGAAAACTTCCTATTGGATACAACCTGATTCAACCGAAACACAGAGCAACATTAATTGGTGAAAAATGTCAACAGTTATAACGAAGAGGCAATGGTTGAAACAAATGGAGGCAAATTACCTCGACCTCTGGCTGTTGCTGTTACCACATGACCACCATTAAAAGAGAAAAAATACAACGCGATACATTAGTTAGATGCAACATATATACATACATTACATAAATAGTGGAAGTGTTTACCTTAACAGAGGTTGTCTCTTTTAGTGGGTTAGAAACAACACTTAACTTTAGCTCATACACCTTATCAGCTGCCATGTCTTTCGCTTGTTTAAAAAATTTGCTAAACTCGATGGCTTCTGAGTTTAGATTAGCATTCTGCAGCCCAACAATATCTTGTTCCAAGCAAATGGTGCTCTCTAGGGTGAGAAACTCGTCACTGCTCAGCTGGGATCTCTTCTTCTGATCGCTAACTGTCACTATGAGTGTGTAGATGCACTTTGGCGGCACGATGCAACAGAGTGGCATCTTTGCTATGTACCTCTTGGGGCACTTTGTCAGAAGCCTAACAGCAACGTGGTCATCTGTCGTGTTAGTCAGCTTTAGTGAACAGGAGGTCAGCTGATTGGCCTTAAATGGTAGCTGAAGCTTCCCGGGGTAAACGCCGAGCAGCTTACTGGAGACAGAGTTCATCTACAAGAAGAGAGGAAAAAAAAGAAGATCGGTAAGGATACAGGCATCACAATGCACCCACGAAAAAGATGTGCTGACACGCGTCTGCATGCAGGTACCTCTTCATCCGTCTGTCCGTTGCCCTGCATCTGCTCTGCCACATTACCAGTATCCGTGACAGAATGTATCTACAAGAAGAGAGAGAGAGAGGGAGAGACAGAAATTGGTAAGGATACAAGCATCACAAACATATACAGTATGATGCACCCACACGAAAAAGATGCGTTGACACGTCTGCATGCAGCTACCTCTTCATCCCTTAGCCCGATGCCCTGTGTCTGCTTCGCCCCATTACCAGTGTCCATGACACTGACAACAAAATCGTTTTCTTCATTTTTGATCTCCGCCCGGTCATGCTCTGGTCGTTTTCTTTTTCTTGAGCCGACCAAATCATTTTCTACTTTACTGCTGCTTCCAGTGTTAGCAACAACTGGATCATTTCCGTCCATTTCTATCATTGCCAATCCGTTCTCGTGTGCAATTACTACCCTGTAACTGATTAAGAAGTTGCTGATGAGAAGTTTTATATGGGATCAAAGAGCACAATCTAAATAAAGAGGCGTGATTAACAAAAGCCTAGTGCGTTTTTCCTTTGAAATAGAGGACGTTATTGCCTAGTCAGAAAATTGTAGCTATGTTGTTAAAACAAAAAGTGCATAATTTGTGTGACTGATTATGTACAAACACTTGGCTTATACCGATACACAACAAACCTATAAACTGCCTGTCTAACATGACCTCTTAGTTAATACTCCCTCTCTATTCAAAAATAATGTTGCCATTACATTCATATATTTGTGAATATGTTGATTTGAGTTTTGAAAGAAGATATAGGTAAATTTGTCTTATAAAGTACCAGTAGTGTACTACATGTTATGTAAAGTCATGCATATATACTTTACACTAGTAAATAGTGGGCACAATGTTGCCTGATATAACCAACCATTGCAATATTGAAAATCACAATCTTGCAATTTTTGAGAGTGCATGCTCAAATACAAAGGTAAGGGATTTATCACTTGATCATGCACAATTGGCAATGCAAGGAGATAGAGCAATTACAACAGGGCCCTTACTTTGTTTTCAAGGGCTAAGGCAACCAAATTGGACTCCAACAAACTTCTACCAAGGTCATACTTTCAGGAGACCACCAAATCACCCGTCGCCAACTCCATTCCCCCGGTCGTGGGTCTCTAGGGATCTCCTTATTTTTAATTTCACATTTTCTTCTCCTCATGCTTCCCAATGTTGAAAATTATAATATTGATTGTTGGGGGTATTACTCTTACAAAGGTAAGGGATTTTCTCACTCTAGAATGCATAATTATTGCCAATGTAGGGAGTTACCTTTTGTAACATACACTAGGTTTTTGGCATGTATTTCCTCCATTCTGTAATATAAGTGATTTGTAGCTGTCCTAAGCTAATAAATCATCCTAAGTTTGACCAAGTTTGTAAATAAAATTATTAACATCTACCGCATCAATGGGCTAAATTATGAAAATATTTTTTCATGATGTATATAATGAAGCTCAATTGAAATCATAAATACTTTTTTCTATGAAGTTGGTCAAAAATAGAATTGTTTGACTTTTGACAACTAGAAATCCATTACATTTTTAGGAAGGAGGGAGTATTTACTTAAGGGTTACCACTTGGGTCTCAAGGGTGTTTTAGGATAGTCCGGGTTGATGGAGATCAAATCATAAAGATTAATATGAAAGCAAATAGGTATAAAAATGTCTAACCATGAATCTAATGGTTATTTGGTAATATAAATATTATTATTTTTATGAATTTAAGATATTTTGGTTTAGGGCAAAACTAAAACATTAATTTCTTTTGGGACAGAAATAGTAATTTATTTTAGCTTCCATAACTTGACGGTCTGTGTGTAGCAATGCTCATGACAACCGAACCACACAGACCAGCTGGGATTGTTTTCTTGCATACCTTCTTGAGCTATCCATACATACTTTTACATCTGCAACAAGCCCGAGTATCTAAACGGGACCTAACGTTAATTCAAGGATCTAAACGGGGCCTAACGTTAATTTCTTTTGAGACGGAAATAGTAACTTAATTTCAGCTTCCATAACTTGATGGTCTGCGTGTAGCAATGCTCATGACAACCGAACCACACAGATCAGCTGGGATTGTTTTCTTGCATACCTTCTTGAGCTATCCGTACATACTTTTACATCTGTAACATCTCCTAGGCCAAAGTTAAACGTCCTCTCAGGCCTGGCAGAGTACAAGGCATATACGGTATTTGTTATCAGTGGACAAACATTGAAACACGTGTTGTGCACAGTAGTAAAAAGATTGAAACTGTCCTAGTGGAAATCAATGAAACTAAGCTTCAAACTCAAATAGTATTAAGCGAAAGTGAACAGATGATGATTGTAAATTAGCGGAAACGACATGATAGTAAAGAAACAGCATATATTTCTGTTCGTTGATTCTTTTATACCATTCCTTAGAAGACTGTAACAATGATCAAGTTGTATGCACAGGAAGATGGGATCATGGGAAAAAGCTGGAACTCTGTTTTTATTATTATCTAAAAAATCTGATAAGGCACGGCACAATGTTTTGATGTTCGACTGAATAATTGTGTTACGTACGGGACATGCCACAATCACTATACGTCTATACTACTCCAACAGGATGATCAATAAAGAAGACACAGTTATATACATATGTAGAATGTAGTATATTCTATTCTAACGACCGCTGACATGCCCAGATGCCCTGCAGGTCGTCATGTATATATAAGCTGCACTGATGAATGTCCCCTACAATCAGTAGTCATGTGCTTTTACCTGAGGGTATTTGGGTTCCATAGACAAACAGTTCCATCAAATGAACCAGTAACTAGTACTGCATGCTCGGGATCGGAACAGATTGCGTCCACTGACCTAAAATGTGCGTCTTTGACTGTTTCAACAAGATTCTGTGTGTGCATGCTCCAAATCTGAGTCAACAGAAGAAATGGACTATAATTAATAATGCTTCGTATATGTATGTTCAACATCGTACTTACTGAAAAGATGCCACACCTTGACAGTCCCAGCAGAGTCACCAGTAATCAAATACTGCTGGTCACCATTAGCAAAGTGATCGAAGCAAGTTATAAAACCTGGATCTTTATATTCTGACAATATGAATTCAGAAGAACGAAGACTGCAAATCTGAAGAAGGATGGTAAATAGACCGTCAGAAGGCTATATTACCAGATTGACTAAAGTTTTGGATAAAATAGTGGTACAAGACTGAAACCTTTATTATTCCGCCATCGCCACGAACTGCAAAAGTATCTGTTTCCTTTATGTTTAACAAGGTGACTCCATAGACATAGCGAAAGTCAACAAACTTAAATATTCGAGTGCATTCCCAGCCCTTTTCCCAGTCCCACAACTTAACATTTCCCTCGGAAGCTGACAGGACATATGACTCGGTTGGATGAACTGCCAAGTCCTTTATGCCATGTACGTGAGCTTCAAAATACGTGAGTTGCCGCATTGCTCCGTAGCTATACACATGAATGTAACCATGCTCATCTCCGGCCACAAACCATTGCTTGCGTGCAATAAGTTTGGCCACCGTCACATCTGGAATTGCAGTGATTATTTAATTTATTAGCGAGTGCGCCGGAAAAGAAACAGCTGGAAGTAGAGTAGAAGTAAAAAAAGACTAGAAATCACCATGTATCCGCGGAAGTATATAAGGCAGGTCCAACTTTGCCTGCGCATAGACAGAAAAGCCGTTCGTTTTATTACTCCAAGTAGCGACTAGTATTTTTTTCTCGAACACATAAGAGAAGCAACTTCCCTATGCCCCCTACATCATGCATGTGATTGAGCAAGTGTTCGGCATCTGGTTCCCCACAGACACTCAGCACAAGCTTCTCAAGATCTCCAACAAGACATCCATCACTGCTGCCAAAGAACTGAGGAAGAAGGCTGATGTAGCCCAAGCTAAAGGCAAAGGTGTTTCGGGTTCTCGCTCTCATCGTGGTGCTTCGCCACCTGTTGCTGCTCGCTCTTCTAGTGCCGAGCCACTCTCTTCTTCCTCCTCTGGTAAGAAGCCCAACAAGTTCAAGTTCCTCATGACCTACATGTTTGGACAGTGTTGTGCTAGTGCTCAACGTGAGCATGACATGCAAGAGGGGCTCTATCATTTGGAGCAGCTGGCTGGTATTGAGTCTTCTCCTCTGCCACCGTTTGTGCCTCCCCGTGATCCTTTGGCACTCTATGATGAGGCTTGTGCGGCATATGAGGATGATGCTGCTTCTCACCCTCATGGCAAGGGCAAGGCTACTGAAGAAGATGACGACTACATGGAGGAAGATGATGATGATGACGATGACGATGGTGGTGATAATGGTGACCAAGATGATGATGAGGACTACGAGGACGAGTAGTCGTTTCTTCACGCGGCCTACCCCTTGTGGCACTTGTTGACAAAGGGGGAGTGTTAGGCTTTCATCTATCTTGTAATAAGGTAGTTGGTCACTTAGTTTCAAGATTTTAAAACCTTTTGCTTGTATGAACTATGTCGTGTGGTGGCTAGTATGTGATGGACAACTATATATATGTGTTTGTGATGCATCATTTTAGGACAAGAAATGGTTATCTATCTACCTTATTTAGCTTGTGCTTGTCTCTACTTGTGATGGTTGATGTTATTTTGGATGGCCATGTGTTGCTTAAAGTTTCTAATTTGAAATCTTGGCCATCATATTCTCATTTACTTGTTGTGTGAATATAACATGTCATACTGCATCTCTTTTCATGGATATATATTTGTTCACACACACTTGTTGCACCCCACAGATTGCGAAATTTAGGGGGAGCTTTTGTCTTGATGTATGCAAATCATGTATAGATGATTTTAATTCAAATTCAAATTCATGCATACATCAAGGGGGAGCTCTTCATAAATTTTGGGGTTCAAAAGCTTTAAATTCTTTCATTCTTATAAAAAGCCTAAGTTGGTTATCATCAATTACCAAAAAGGGGGAGATTGAAAGTGCATTTGCCCCCTATGTGGGTTTTGGTGTATTGATGACATCCAAATTATGGACTAATGTGATCTTAATGAGATATGTCGCAGTTATTAGTCCCATAAAAGATTCAAAGAGTTGATAAAGATGAAATGGTATCCCTTTGTAAGGAAAATGGACCATTGGCCCATTTACTTTGGATTTTGGTGTTTGATGATCAACACAACCAAATTGGACTAATGAATTTGCAAGTGTTTATTTTGTAGTTCAATAGGGTGCAAGACATGACTTGGATGAAGGCGACGTGATGATCCGATGATCAACACCTTAAGAAAGACCTTAGGAGCACAAGAAAAGATCCAAGATATCAAGCAAAGACCAAGCATGAAGATAGGAACCAAGCCGTATGCAAGATCGCGAAGAAACGAGCTCGCAGAGGCGACCGGACGCTGGACCGGACGCTGGAAGCACGACCGGACGCTGGACCGGTGGCTCGGCAGACAGGCGACCGGACGCGAGAACCGGACGCTGGCGGCAACCGACCGGACGCAGAAATGCAGCGTCCGATCGAGTACAGAGAGGTTCCAGGCGCGCGAAACTGCGACCGGACGCGTCCGGTGGCAGGCGACCAGACGCTGGCAGCGTCCGATCGGTGGTTCGCGGCTGCAACGGTCGGGACGACTGGACGCGTCCGGTCAGGACGATTCAGCGTCCGGTCAGTAGCAGATTTGCGAGAGTTCGACCCCAACGGCTACTTTCTCAGTGGGGCTTATAAATACAACCCCCAACCGGCCATTTGGTAGGTGTGGAGCTGAGGAAACATACCAAGGGTGTTGATACACCATTTTAGTGATCTCCACTTGCATAGTGCTTAGTGTTTCATCAGGTGATTAGCGTAGGTGCTTTGCGAAGTGCTTAGGTTGATTAGACCACCGCTTATGCGCTTGCTCTAGGTGTATGCCTAGTGTTTAGTGAGGTTTGCATACCTCTTACCACCCCGTGCTTGCGAGCACAAGAGTTGTACATCGGAGGGGCTTGAAGTCTTGTGAGATCGCACCAACCGCGTTTGTGGTGCGGCCGCCACCGTGTACCGAAGGGAACAAGGCCCGCGGCGTTTCGGCCGAAAGCTTGATAGTGAAGACGGTAGGGAGCATCCGGGAGAGGCTTGCTGGAAGGCACATCGGAGACCCACTTGCGCGTGGGGAAGGCCCGAGGCTATCCACGGAGTTACCCGACCGGGAGCTTGGCCCTTGCGAGGGATTCCTTGCGAGGGGCTCCAACGAGGACTAGGGGGGAGCTTGCGTGCTTCTCGATACCTCGGTAAAAATACCAGAGTCATCGACGGGAGTTTGCATATCTCTACCTTGCTCTTTAAGCTTCCGCATTTACATTGATCATATTATTATCATTTACGGTAGAGATAGCAACACACTAGCAAAACCGTAGTTGCACATCTAGATAGATTATCTTTTGCATAGGTTTTGCTAGAGGTAGAAAAAGAGGCCATAGTTTGGAGTTAGATTTTTAAGTTGCCTAATTCACCCCCCCCTCTTAGGCGTCACGGTCCCTTCAATTGGTATCAGAGCCGGTTGGCTCATATTTGGACCTTTGGCTTAACCGCCGTTGAGCCGACGCTAATTAGAGTGGTTGGGATGGATACCGCTAGGCCTCCACAATTTGACGGCACTAACTTCCTCTATTATAAGGCTAGAATGGCTTGCCATCTTGAGGCAGTTGATTTAGGTGTATGGAGAGTCACTCACGATGGGATGAAATCCATTAAGAATCCCGAAAAACCCACGAAGAGTGATGAAAAAGAATTGCATTTTAATGCTAGAGCTAAAAATTGCTTGTTTGAATCTTTTAGCATGGATGTTTTTAACCAAGTATTTACTTTAAATACGGCACATGAAATTTGGTTAAAACTCCAAGAGCTCCATGACGGCACAAGTAATGTCCGTGAGCAAAAACATTGTCTAGCTAAGCAAAATTATGATTCCTTTACAATGAATGAAGGTGAGCTTGTTCGTGATATGTATTCTCGATTGAATCTAATTATCAATGAGCTCCACTCTATAGGATTATTAAAGCTAGATGATGCGGACATCGTGAGGAAGATCATCTCCGTGCTACCACAAAAGAAATATTCAAGCATCATCACCATCCTTCACAATATGGAGGACTTGAGCACCATGACCCCGGGTATTGTCATTGGCAAGATAGTGGCATTTGAAATGTCACGCAAGATGGGTCAAGAAGAAGCCTCTTCATCGAGCAAAGGCAAAGCTCTCGCATGTAGCGAGAAAAGGAAGATGAAGGGCAAGAAAGTTGAGACAAGCTCAAGCTCAAGTTCCTCAAGTGAAGATGAAGATGAGGATGATGATAAAGAAGAAGAAGAATCAAGTAATGATCAATCTTCCTCCTCCACCTCCGACCTTGATGAAGAATCAATCAAACTTATCAACAAGGTGGAGAAGATGATCCAAAAGCTCAATGTCAAGGGTGTGCCCATCCAAATCCAAGACCTCATTTTCACCAATCAAAGAAACGAGCAAAGAAAGAGAGGATGCTATGGATGTGGCGAGGTGGGGCACTTTGTGGAAGTCTGTCCAAACAAGCCCACACCCAAGACAAAAAGGAAGGCATGCAAGAACAAAGCCCTCACATCAATAAAATCATGGGATGATTCTTCAAGTGAAGAAGACCATCACAAGAGGCGAGGGCGCAAACACTCATCATCAAGCTCTTCTCGTGTGTGCCTTATGGCACGAGGTAACGAAAGCTCATCCTCTAGTGAGAGTGATAGTGATGATGATTTGCCTTCTTACAATACAATTGTGCAACAAAATCTTAAATATGCTAAAGTTTGCACTAGTCAACAAAAGAAGCTCAAAATTTTAAAAGAAGAGCTAGGTAGTTCACAAGAAGCATACAAGAATTTACTTGAACAATATGAAAACTTTGCAAATCTCAATGTTGAACTATCTACTAAAATTGAGCAACTTGAGGCTAGTGCAACAACGAGTGCATGCACAATTAATGATAAGCAACTTGAAAAGAAAAATGAAAAATTAAAAGAAAAGTTAGCTAGCTCACAAAATGATTATCAAAGTTTGCTTGCTAAAATGGAAATCATGTGCAAGCATTGTGATGAGCTAACAAATAAAGTTGCTAATCTTGAGGCCGTCAAAAATACCCCCACCAAGGCATCTAAAAGAAATGACATAATTAAAAAGGATGTCTCTACTTCTTGCAATGATTTATATTTAGACTCACCCTTGTGCAACCAAGCTTGTGTTGAGAAAGTGATTGTAGATACATGCACACAAGAGGTTGTAAAGGAGAATGAGAAACTCAAGCAAGAAGTAGTTCGCCTCACCAAGGACTTGACTCAAGTGAAAGGCAAGGTGAAACAAACCCAACTTCATCAAGATAACACCGTCAAGGGAGTGAAGAAGCTTGATGAAGGACAAACCGTGGTTTGCTACGTGTGCCACAAGGAAGGCCACAAGTCCTA